CTGTATTCATCTCTCAAACTGGTGCCTCCTTAACAACTTTTGCTAAGACAGGATATTTTATTAATTAGGATATTTGTCAACCTCCTCTACACAGACCTCTACTTTTAGGACTACCCTTTATTTTTTATTTTAAATGTACAAATTACAAACCAGGTTTCGGTTTGATGTTTAGCTGCTTTTGATAACAAATATAATGTAAATGACACAGCATGCAATCTTTAGTCATAACAAAAGTAGCCTCAGATTGCTGTTTCACATTCACACCCTGCATTTGTCACTACTTACTTTTGCATTTGATTGTGGGTTAGGAATGTTGGGATGTGGACATCAAATGGGCATCCCTAACCTTCACAGCACCTGGCAGCTAGGATTCATGACACAGCCATTCTTCGTTTTAATCTGGTGACTAATCTGTGGTCTAGTAAGACTAAATAAACCACTGTGTACCACCCTTCTCATTGCTGGTTTTTTTGGCCCCAATTTGGGTTAAGCTGCTGTTCACTAAATTCATTGTGTAGGAGGCTTAACTGGAGTATAGAATTCCAAGTTTAGCATTTGTGGTGCAAGTTGGAATTGCTAAGATTTGGCAGAGAATTGTATAGCAAAAGATTAAAGAATGAGTCTGAGGGCCAGCAGGTGATGTGGTGGTTAGGGAGCTGGATTCCCGTATGGCTGCAGTATGAGTCCTGGACCTGGTGACTTACTTTCTCACTTTTCCTCTCTCTCTCACTCCGTCTCTCTCTGGTGAGCACATGTGCCCCATAGGATATTTTAGGAATATAATAATAATAAATAAAATTAAATAAATCTTTAAAAAAGAAATGGATATTTTTATTATTAATATATTATTTATATCTAATGTTAGAAAAAAGGAACTTTTTTTAAGTTAAGGTATTTCTCTTTGGATTTGTTTCATTCATTAATTTTGTCATTGAATTTATTGTCATTTGACTCATTATTTTCAGATGTTTTATGAACTCTTAAATATGGCGAATGAAAATATGTCAGTAGTTTTTCATTGAAAGATTACCACATGTGTTGGATTTCCAGTTTTTCCCATGTGTTTACAATGGACAAGTTCCATTAAAACATGTAACCAATATTCAGTATTCTACTTTTTACTCTTGACTCCCTGGACACCAGCTAATGTGCAGCCATATTTGTTCCCGCTGATATATTTGCAGACCTCATTGTAATTAGTATTACTTTGAAGGTTTTGAGCGTTGAGCTAAGACAAATAATGGCTTTCTAAATATCTCTTTAGGTCTTTGCTCAGTGACTTGTATGAAATAAGTGCTTAATAACTATTCATTGAATTAATTGGTTGGAAAATGTTCTTGGACATATTCCCACTCTGGGCATTAATTTATATAAGCACTTAGGTACCTTTTGTTCCAACAGGTTCCATTTTTTTTTTTCCTTCTTAGCTTATGTGTTAATAGAGTTCTTTTTAGCTTCATTGTCTCTCTATTCAATGATCACTCTATTTCAATTACTTTAGGCCTAAATGTATTTGTTGGTGAGTAACCTTGGCAAATTACATTATATTGCATCCTGATTTCCCTATTGATACAATGAGCGTAATAACAGTACTTTCCTCATTCTACTGTAATAGGTAAATGAATTAATAGATGTAAAACACCTAGCACAACCACCATTCAAATTGGTACTACACTGTTTTATCAATTGCAGTCATTGATTGGAAATGGATTTAAAAAATCAACAAAAGCATTCTGCGAGCATTGATCAACTCCATGGAACTTAAAGTAAAGTATGTTGTGTATATTTTTATTAGATGAAAATTGTGTGCAACACATCCTTTATGTTAGTAAGATTTATAACAAATTTATAAACATACAGACAGTATCTTTGTTTTAAACATTCACCACTTGGTAACACTGTCTCCACTTTTGTCTCTCAAGCTATGGATGGTTCTATAGCATATGGATAGTGTCTGGGTGTAGCTTGTAGCAGATGTTGTTGGTGTCCTACCCAGATCTCCTTTACTGGGCCAGTGCATCCATCTCCCAGCTGCTGCAGCTATTGGCTGCTAATGACTCACACCTGTACCCTTCTCCGGAGGACTGCCCTTGGCTGACAGTAATTGCTTCAGCCAAATATGTTTGGGAGATTATGAGATCAGGCCCCAACCCCCTCTTGTTCCCCAGAGATTGCTCATAACTAATGACTATATAGGGTTATAACAGCCCAGCCTCCTTGTCTATGGACTGGACAACTTCTGTGGTTTAATCTGTACTCTAAAATTCCTCATGGGAGCAAGCTGAGGCTAGATTTATGGAACTATCTTTGCCTAGCTTCTTCCCATTCAAGCTTACTTCTTTCGCTCTTTGTTTCTCCTGACAACATTCTATTCATAATCAGGTGTATAAGGAACACCATCTAAGGTTCTGCTTCTAGAACGCCTGGTCTACGATGTTGCTGATCTCAGTACCCCATTGTTTTCTGAGTTCCATTATTACTTACACAACTAATTTCCTATTTTAAATAATCTCTGGCTAAATTTCCTCTTTTTATTTTTGTTTTGTTTGCTTGTTGTCCTCTGCCTGGTATCTGTCAACCCTGTTCATATGCTGTGTCTTTGCATATTTAATGTTACTCAGTTTCAAATGTCCTTGACCCTTTTACATACCTCAGCCCTATATAGTATGATGGTGAATATACCAGATATTTGGATCTGAAAAGTGAATTTTAAAGCCTGAGTCAATTATATTTTCCTCTTCAGCTTGTTGTAAGAATTTTTCCTATATTCCAGACACACTCAGCACTATGTCTGGAACATAGAAAGTTCTTAATAAGGGGGAGCTTTTTTGTTGCTGATATTCTTTTAAGAGATTTGCCCCACTTTGGGTGAGATGCCTCATGTCTTACTCTCTGACTTTATTTATTGAGTACCTCTATGACAGCATTTTAATATACTGTAATCTAATCTTTGAGTTTTCTTTCTCTATTTCTCCCAGGAAATATGAGCTTCTTAATGTCATCCAGTGGTGTGTTGATTCTCTGAGAAGGAAAAAAACCTCTTATTTCTGATCTTGTTTGCTGATTTTTATGGTGCAAGTACTCCCACCCTGGCCAATTTCAGGCTGCCAATATGATGTCCTTGAACAAAGAGTTGGGAAGAGGTTTACACAGGTAGCACTTCCCAGCCAGTGCACAACAACCCCAGTCTTCACTCTTTGTATCCCTAACATTTAGCACAGAGTGTTGAACATAGGAACTAAATGCTCAATAAATGACTAAAATACAGTTGTCAACTGGTTAGGACTTAATCATAGGCAGTAATTTGGCAAAATTCCCTACTACCTATTTTTTGTTATAGAACCACAACACCCTTTCCCAAAACACACACACACACACATCCCCGCACATTACCCTCCCTATTTATGAATCAAAGTAATCAAGTGGTTGTCATGATGTTATAGGAAATGTGCATGTTCTCCCTGTGTAGGTTGCCTACTAACTAAGATGCAAATGCAAACATGTTCTATGTTTTAGCAGACTTGTGACTGGGGATCACTCACTTTACCTCTCTCAGCTTCAGTTTCATTGGAGAGTTGGACTGGATTGTCTCTAAAATTCCATTTAGTTCTCAAAATCCAAAGACTTAATTAGTATATCATTTCATTTCCTCATTCCTCACTCCTTCATCTTTCTTGCTCTTTTACTGAACTTTAAGTTAAACATTGTGCTGCATTTTACAAAAATGAATCTTTAGAAAGCTTATGGAAAACATGTATCATGAAGAAAGTATGCATGGATTTCAAAAATTTTTTGGACCCAATTAAATGTGTGCTTTGTTTTTCCATGAACTTTTTGAAGTTCTATATACAAAGGGAATTAAAAAGTGCCCTAGCCAATGAAAACCTCAAGTCTTTTTTTACAGATATCTCTTCTTATGAAGACCATGAATATGCTGATTACCTTCTATTTTCCCCCATGGGCAATAAATCTAAATGAATTTATGCAAGTGTACCGAAGGCCAAGATTTTAGTTCAGAAATTTTAGCACTTTGACACATAAAGTTATTGTGCTAATAACTCTCTAGATAGTATTCAACAAGGCTGCCCTGATTAGCAAGGAATTCTATTAGGAAATGTCACCAAGATAACATTAATGTTACAGAAAGAATCCTTGATGAATTTTGGGTTACACTGTCCTCTGAGCCAGGTTTAATTCATAGAGAATTCATATACTCAATTCATAGAGAAAGCGAAATCTAAATACATTTTTGTTTTGTTTTGTTTTTACTATAGGTACATATGCTCACTAGAGAGACAGAAAAGGAAAGTGAGACATTACCCCCACATTGGGATGTTCATGCCACAGCCCTTTCTCCTCCTCCATTCTCCTCTTGGGATTTTGGGCATGTATGAATGCATGCGCATGTGCCCAACATGCTGGGTCTGGGACTCAAACCATGCAGTCAACCATGTAGGATCTAGCTGCATTAAACTACATGCCACTTGCTGGCCCTAATCATATTCTTTTGAGTTTAAATGTAAGAAGTATTTATCCTGATTCTTTCTCACATTGGGATTTGAAAGTCATGAAGAATGACTGTTAAACTCTTGTATTCTCTTTCAAGGCTGCAGCCATTTACTGACTCTAGTGCCTTCTTTGTTCTCATCTCCCATGATCTCTTCCTTTTTCTAAAGAATCTGTTCTACTCTATACCAAAACTTAGCACCTCATCTTTTAAAAGTTAATTTACTTATTTCTTCTATGAGAGACAGAAAAGGAGAGAGAGGAGCAAAGATGGAGAAAAAGGAAGAGAGACAGCGGCACTCAAAGTGGGGCTCTTAATGCCACTGTCCTACTTCCAGCTCCAGGAGACAGGATCATGGGCACATGTAGGTGTGCCTGGTATATGTGTGTCATTTTTAAACCACAAGTTGGTTTCCAGTATGAATTACTGCTGGAAACATTTTTAAGTCACTTAAAAGTATTTTTAAAAAGGAAATTTTATTTGTTTTTGACAGGGGCTGATAATATCCGGAAATACTGGAGCCGCTACTACCAAGGATCTCAAGGGGTAATATTTGTATTAGACAGTGCCTCTTCAGAGGATGATTTAGAAACTGCTAGAAATGAACTGCACTCAGCCCTTCAGCACCCACAATTATGTACTTTACCCTTTTTAATATTGGCCAATCATCAAGACAAGCCAGCAGCTCGCTCAGTACAAGAGGTATGTCTCCTTAACTTAGCAAATCTTTGTCTACCTTGTTTGTTGGACTACTGCTGCCATATTATAATCTGGAATGACGCATATAATTTAGGTAATACTGGTTATTCTTTTTTAGCATAAAGCCTTAGTATTTTTAGGAGGAAAATCCTTTATCAATCCGATAGGACTTGTTTATTTATCTAATCATTCTTGGTGAGAACAGATTGGTTTTTAATTGTTTTGCACAAGTTAGAGGGTGTATCCTGGTATTTTTTCTCACTTTGAAGGGTTAAGGGCCTGCATGTTTAATATTTTTTTTAATGGCTCCATTAGTACTTAGTTCTTTCTTTTCCAGCTTTCGAAGGAATGCACCATAAACATTTCCTTACACCACTTGCCCTCACATGCCGTGTTCTTGTCTCTCCGAAATGTTCGTGTTCACTGTTGGCCAGGAAAATGGGTCTTAGTCTGTGGTCAGCAAGGCTGAAAATTGATGTCTCATTTTGCAAGTTCTGTGCCACCAAACACATTTTAATATGGACCCATATCTTTATCTTCATTTAATTTGATTTTTTTTGAGCTAGTATTTCTCCTATTAAAGTATGCTTAAGACTATTTCTCATATAATTAGTATCTCACTCAGTAGGTCTTTTGATTCATGGTACTAAGGTAGTGAGATATGTGAATAGTTTTTAAAAACTTAAATTGTAACCTAAGTATAGTGAAATCAAAACTTCTGATATATGCCTTCACACTTACAAATTTCAGGATTTGTTTTCCCCTGTTCCTTAGAAAATTGTGTGCTTCCTCAAGTGACATTTGAGTAAGATGATTAATGGGAATGACATTGCTCTTTAGTCTGAAAAATAATTGAGGAACCAAGAACATAGCTTGTTCTAACTCTAAACATTCCTCACACTTAATGTGCAACCAATGGCAAATAACTTTGTTCCTGCTTCTGGCTTCTCACCTGTAAATGGGAATAATGCAATTTATTATAATGAATTAGTGTAATTAATTCGGATAATTTACTATGAAGTTTGATATACTGAGTGGAATAGCCACATGAGAGAGTCTTCCAAAGGTTCAAGGAAAATATGTATAATGAAAGAACTAGGCATGGATTTAAAAGTCGTTTTTGCATCAAAATATACTCTAATTTCATTTTTTCATGAATTTTTAAAGTTCCCTTGTATATTGAGCTTTTAGTTTTAGGAAAATAGTAAAGAAAGCCAGAATTTATTGTTATGCAGAGCTCATGTCTATCTTTAGTTGCCTCATTCAGCATTAAGTACTTAGTACCTTTTTTCCCCAGGTTTTAGAAAACACTTTTTAAAATAATACCAGGTAATTAAAATAAAAAACAACAATAAATACCCATTGTGAAAGTCATAATGTGCAGATATTCAGCACTGTAAATGCAATACCTTCTTGATCTGTTGTTAAGATCACAGATAAATCGAAACTTCTCAGCATCAGTTTATTTTTGTCTTTCAAATGAGTATAATAGTATGTAATGATAAGTTGTTATGGGTATTAAGTGAGTTTATGATTACAATGTACTTTGATGAAAATGTGTTGTTCTTATATTCATTGTGGAAAATACGATAATATGCATGTGTATTATAAAATACAGACAGTAGTATATTTTATATATTAATATGTTTAACAACATATAATATGAACTATATACATGCTGTTATAACATCAAATCATTTTATCCAAATGATATACAAAATCTGAAAAGAAATTCCTCTTCGCTTTTAAATTTGAGAAACTTTTCTTTAGATGTGATATAATTGAAACTGACGTGTTCTTTAAACCTAAGATATGAGTCGTGGTAACCCTATAAAGGAATTACAGACTGCACATTGAATAAAGGAAGCTTCTAGCAATTAATTGCTTCTGAGTATTCCTTATGTGTATGGACTGGCTATCTCTTCTAGGTAAAAGGCACATACCTTTTTTCCTACTTTTTAAATTCATCTTTTAGTTAAGACAGATGGCTATAAATGTAATCATAGATATGGTTTGAAAATTATTCTAAACTTGAATATACTAGAGCATATGTCACTTTTACTTTTTATTTGTATCAATTTAAAGTTAACTTTCCTCAAAATTTTAACTTGTAATGGATTTTGCATAATACCGGTTTCAGAACTGCTTTCAGTGAAACTTTTCTTCTATGATGATATAAACACGTACCATAAAGGTATATGTTAACATTTTAAACTGTTTGAATAGGATACGTGGGCAGTTTCCATTATAGCTCTTGAAGTTTATGGAAACACAATGACGTACTCACATTTAGTTTGGGATTTATGGCAACTTCAAAATAGTTAGGAACAGTCATGGGTAGGAGAGGGTGCAGAAATTGAAAAGGGAGTCAAGTCACATTTAACTTGAAATATATGTCATTTTATAGAGGTATTGCATGCCCTGTGCCCTATTGCTTGCAAATATTTTTATTTATTTGCATCTTCTAATTTGTATAGTCTTTGTGGAATTTTCAAATGTTAAGTAGATGGTATTTTATTCTGCAAAATACTTGTGAATTTTAGGCAAAATTTTGTTCTTTCTGAATCAAGAAAGATGCTTTGAAAAAGTCTTTGTTGTAGTTAAGAAAAGATAATGAATCATAACGGCTTACTGATTCTTCCTTTTCTCCCTTTGAAATTATTAACATTTTATACTTAATGTATCATGAAGAAAACTCTGCAGTTATTTATCTTGTCACTAGAGTAAAACTTGAACAAATGTGTTTGGTTTTTAATGAGGGTATCAGAATATTATTGACTTTAGAAGTGGATAGAAGCCAGAGAAATCCAAAGGAGAAACTGAATTATCACTGGGATTCCAGCAGTGCATAAAAGTCATTGGGGAATTATTTATTTATTCCCCTCTTCTATAATGAGTCTTGCTATGTCTGTGTGGAGCATTGCATTAAGAAAGAAAGACAATGGTTAAAATTACTGTGTAACCCACAGACAGAGGGCAACATGCCCCATTATTTTCTTGCCCTTTCAGAAGCAAGTAGAGTCTTGTACAGCACATATTTTCCTTTTCTGTAATAAACCTGGTAATGACCTGTGTTTAACTTACCAGACTCGTAAGATTTTATGTCTTGAGAATTGATAGTGGAAACATGTATTTTTAAACAAATATAGTTAAAAGAAATAGCAAAACACTGGGAAAAAGAACACCCTTTATATACTGTCTGAAAGCCAAGCAATTCTTGCAACAGATGTTTGTTGTATTCACTTTGGGGAGGTGTAGTTACCACAGTTTTCCAGAATTTACTCATATCAACTATTTTCTCTATAGAACACATTCTAAAAAAATCTATAATTACATCAAGTGGCCCACTTTGGAACATTAGGGAAGATTCTGGTGTAATTTAAATGATTAAGCTATAAAATTAGGACTCTTAAGGACAAATAGGTTGTTTTTCAAATTTGTATTGAATTGTAATTGTATCTAATTTGTTTTATAACTCCCACAGGAGAGCATACTTCAGTTCTGAAGTTATTTAATAGATCAGGAGGATTTTATGAGAAGTTAAGTTGATATAGTAGCCAATAAATGTAATCCTATTTTCCCTCTACACAGTTGCTGATTGTGAATCTTTTCCCTCCTAGCTATTTAATATTTTATTTTTATTTTATTGAACATTATCATATCTTATATAAAATGATATATTTTGTTAACATGAAACAAAAAGTTCATATTTTAAGCAGTTTAATTCAATTTGATATTTGTCTGTACCCTTAACCAAAAAGTATTTAACTTTTTAAGAGCTGGTATATCAAAATTATTATGTTAACCACTTATCGAATATTTTCTATTGAAGCAAATATTGAGACACACGAAAACAGTGAAACGGATATTTGAGGTAGAATTATACGGTTGAATGACTACTGATTCCATGACTCATTAATCATAGCATGCAAAAATTCAGCTTCTAAATTAAGGTATCAATATTAAAGTTAAAATTTGTGATCACAGGACTAGCAGATGGTGTAGTGGTTACGTTCCTGAACTCTCATGTAGTCAACCTCAGTTCGTGTCCCAGGCCTGGTAGCTTAAAAACTCACTTTGTGTGTGTCTGCCCAAAATCCCAAGAGGAGAATGGAAGAGAAGGGATTGTGGTGTGGCCATCCTCCTGGGGGTTGATTTCTCGCTTTCTGTCCCTCTGTCTTTCTCCGTCTCTCTGTCAAGTACACATGCCCTAAAGCAAAAATCTCTCTTACCAAAAAAAAGAAAAAAAGAAAATTGTAATCAGACCACTACTCAATTAGCATGCAATGGCAATTTGTTATTGTGATGTGCATAGAATTTGGTGTTATATTAATAATATTTGAAAAGAATAGAAATGTGAAAAGAGAATTTGCAAGTATTTTTATAATGGTAAAAAACAATTCTGGCTTTTTTAGACTGTTTTGTTTTGATTAAAGTATTAAGATATTATTGGACATTACATTCAATACTTTGTGTCATGAATAATTTGTTTAGTGTTCATGTTTTAGCGTGTAGATTTCTTCTAGAAGAGAGAGCTACTATGTTCTTATGGTAGTTAATGCTCATGTTTTAAAATTACTTGTTTATAATGAGAATTTCTACGTCGTGTGCTTTTTTTTTTTTTCCTTTCCACAAAGGATCAGATAGGAGTTTCAAAAGCCTGAAATTTTTGACAGTGTATCTTTAAATAATAAACTTGTAATTTTAATTTTTATTGAAGAGATTTTTGCTATAGGACGAGTGTGCTTGCCAGAGAGAGAGAAACAGAGAGGGACAGAAAGTGAGAAATCACCTCCCACGGGGGGTAGCCATGCCACAATCCCTTCTCTTCCATTTTCCTCTCAGGGTTTTGGGTACACATGCTCATGTGCCCGGTGTGAATTTTAAGTAACCAGGTCTGGGACTTATACTGCAGGAGTCCAGTGACATAACTATTACGCCATCTGCTGGTCCCTTAATTTTTTATTTTATGTTTTTATTGCTTGACAGTATATCAGTTTCTT